GACCAGGGCGATAAGGCTGATTGCTTCTACGTTGTGGAGTCTGGAGAGGTGAAGATTATGATGAAGAGCAAAGTGAGTTCCTTTATCTTTCTTTTTCTCTTGCATTGTGTTAAATTACACCTTTTAAACTCCTTTAATGTGCTGAGAAAAGTTCAGATGTTCCTTTTCAGATTTGTATTTTTTATTAAATTAAATACTTTCAGTCCCAGATTAACATGTAGATACAGCTATACATAGACTGTTTCTCCTCAACAATCTGTGAATCACTAATAGAGTTTAGTTTGTTTAGGATGGGACTATATGTTTGGCATCCAATTATTTTTGCATAAAGTTCCATTTTTAATTTTGCCCCAAATTTAAATGTTCTCTCAGACAAAAGCAGACAGACAGGATAACGCTGAGGTGGAGATCGCTCGCTGCAGTAGAGGGCAGTATTTCGGAGAACTTGCTCTCGTTACTAATAAACCGCGTGCTGCCTCAGCCTATGCTATAGGGGACATCAAATGCTTGGGTAAGTTTCTCTGAGTCCATCTGACTTACATTTTTGCATTGAAATGTGCACAGTGTGCTCCATTAATGTCATACGACTGATGTTTGTGTTTCAGTGATCGACATACAAGCCTTCGAGCGTTTGCTGGGGCCCTGCAAAGAGATCATGAAGAGGAATATCGCCCACTATGAGGAGCAGCTGGTGGCTCTGTTTGGATCCAGTGTGGACCTGAGGGACTGAGACAGACTGGCCGTGCCTTACACACACACACACACACACACACTATACAACACGACACATAGGTTATACACTCCCAAAACATTTTGTAGGCACACATTCCTTTTTATGTGCACTCATTCTTCAGCCAACACACTCACTCTTTCAAATCATACCTCACACACACACGCCTGATGTCATAGCGTCAGCTACTCAGTACGAAATAGAAACATTACCAGCTCAACTGCTGTGACCCTGAACCAACTACAGCCTGGAAAGGACATACGCGCGCACACACACACAAACGCACATTCACTTACACCAAAAATTCCCAGCCAAGGACCCATCCTTTCTCATGGTCACTTGCAGTCACAACAAAGAAAAGAGAAAAAGAGACAAGATAAAAGAATCTATGTTTAAACAAGAAAAAAGTTGATATCTTTCAATAAAAAAATGCAAAAAATCGTAAAAATTTAACATTTTAGAGCATTTTATGATAATGCAAAGCTTTGATAAACTTGTTTAAATATGACCTGTTTCCTTTCCCTGCTGTTGGTGCATAAAAGTTTTTGGTGGTATCCACAGTGACAGATTTTTCTCACTTAAAACTCCACATGTTGTATTGATTAATGTATTACTATTATTATCATTATTATTATTATTACATATTATTTTTGTTGAAGGTTGACCCGCTGTTACACCACCCCCTATTTGGAGGATGCGAGGCCGAATCTAGTGCAAATTTTCCCTTTAGTCTTTCTGAATGAGTCGTCCTGAAAAATAAAGCAGACATTTTGGTAACCTGCTGGGACTCTTATGTTGCGCATTTTATGATAATGCAAAGCTTTGATAAACTTGTTTAAATATGACCTGTTTCCTTTCCCTGCTGTTGGTGCATAAAAGTTTTTGGTGGTATCCACAGTGACAGATTTTTCTCACTTAAAACTCCACATGTTGTATTGATTAATGTATTACTATTATTATCATTATTATTATTATTACATATTATTTTTGTTGAAGGTTGACCCGCTGTTACACCACCCCCTATTTGGAGGATGCGAGGCCGAATCTAGTGCAAATTTTCCCTTTAGTCTTTCTGAATGAGTCATCCTGAAAAATAAAGCAGACATTTTGGTAAGCTGCTGGGACTCTTATGTTGCGTGTGCGTGTGCGTGTGCGTGTGTGTGTGTGTGTGTGTGTGTGTTGGAAGGTGCGGTCTGTAATTACAGGAACAGTGCCATTTAAATGTCAGGAATCAGTTTTGTGTTTGTAATCTTTTGAATGGAGACGCCAGTGTTTTGGAATGGAGTGTTATTTCCCCCCCTCCCCCCTTTAGGGCGTTAGTTGGCTGTTGTTAATTGGTTATCATTGAGGTTGGCTAGTTTCAGCATTTACTGATTGTACTTTTAATAAACTGAATAAATCAGGGTGTCTGCTTTTATTTGGGGATTTAGTTTTTCTTTAGGGAGGGGGTGGGGGGTGTAGTGTTCTGAAACATATTTCATGGTCATTAATTCTTTGATGCAAGATGTCTACTAAAAATTCAGTCTACAGATTGCATTTAATGACAAAACTGGTCATGGGCCAGGCATTTTGGATATTTTTGGGTACACTATCCTTTATTGAATTTGGGGGGAAATTAAATTTTGTTATTGTTTTCAAGTAAACGGTCAAGCTTTTCCATTTTGATTTTATAATTTTTTAATCATTATTATTCCCTCCTAGACTGAGTATAGCTAAAGTTCACATCACCCTACTGTCACCAGAGCCTATGAGACATGTGAACTAGACATGAAAATGATGTGACCCTGGACCACAAAACCAGTCATAAGTGTCAAATAAATTTACAAAATATCTTCATGGAACATGATCTTTACTTAATGTCCTAATGATTTTTGGCATAAAAGAAAAATCGATCATTTTGACCCATACAAAGTATTTTTGGCTATTGCTACAAATATAGCTGTGCGACTTAAGACTGGTTTTGTGGTCCAGGGTCACATTTGTCATGTAAATTCGTCTTTGCAGTCCTGGCTATTGGTAATAAAAACTAGTTCTGAGAGTCTTCTGGAGGTTTGAGAAGAGTCCACTCTAAATGGCAGTATTGACGCCATACATTGTAGTTATGTCAATGAAAAAATGTTGAAAGAAATGTACCTTTATTGATTATCATTTACTTTTCCCCACAATTACCTGAGGGTAAAACATTAAATTGTGTTTTCGTTTTTTGAAACCTCTTGCCAGCTCTGAGACACTTTGCTTGGCCGTCCTGTCCTTTTCTTAGCCAAATTCACTGTCACAATTCATTTTGAATTTCTGTAGTACTTTTGCTACTATGTTCACAAACACCTATTTGGTTTTTAAAGTGGTTCCATTGCGTTCAGCATTAAGAATGATTAAATGGGATATATGCAACATTTGTAGTAAAATTAAATGGTTTGGTTCAACATACCTGTTGATCAAAAAATGCCTTTAGATATTTTTTATGTAGTTAACACTTGTAGCACTTTTGGCTCAACACTTATGTGAAAATCTAATTGTCCTCATTTTTTTGGTAATTGATCACCCTTGCCTGAACTTTACATCTACAAGGAAGCATAATATGTATTCTATGTAAGGAGAAATGACAATTCGTTTCAGATGGGGTGTAGGCCTACTTATTTATGCTAAAACTTCTGGAACAAATGTAGTTATTTTCATAATGTATCAGCATTCCTGAGGAAGATTTATTTGTTAGTTTATTTGGTGTGTGTGTGTGTGTGTGTGTGATATTTTTAATTGTTAGCTTATGTAAGTCTTTGAATGTTGCATTACATCTTACTGTTTTTCCAGCATCTCACACCATTAGCATGAAGTGTTTAAATCAAGACAACACAAGAATCAGTCCGTTTCAGCTGAGTTTGCTATGTCAGTAAATGGCATTTAATGTACAGCATTTTGCAAGCCATCATGGCATAATATGTTCTTTATTTTAAATATGTATTTGATTTCTGTCATATGGTTTATCATATAAGGTTTATAGCAGGTGTTAACAGTGATTAACAAGCATTATTTGTGAAGGGCAGGGTCGGGTGGGGATGCTATAAACCATTTAAACTAATTTGATTAGTGAGAATATAACCACCTCGCCCATCGTTTGTCAATCACCGAGTCACACCCCCACCACACAACACACTACACCACATCAATCATTTATGAGTCCACACGGCCCCCCTGCTTACCCACAGCCCAGCAGGGGGGCCAAGTACCACCGACTTCACGTGCTTTCTTATACCCAGAGGTATTCACATGAAACCGAGGCACAACGGAGCGCAGAGAAGCAGTCTCCCACCAAGAAACGTGTCAGTTATCCCGCCGCGAGGAGAACGGCACGAGAGACAATTCCGCGGGTATACACTGCTACGTCACAAAGAGTCATTTAGAACGCGTCTTTTAAATGCTTAAAAAAATGTTATGACGTCACACCATGAAGACATTACGAAAGGCAAATATTCAGGGATCTTTTTTCATATTTAGGATTTTTAATGTCTGCGCAATACGTAATTTAATTTTAAATTTTGAAAATACGTCACAAAGGTATTTAGTTTTTAAAAATGTTTATGTAAAGTGTGAAATAAATAATTTTGTTGTAATTTAGGGGTTGCTTCTTCAACTTTTTTGAGCTATTCAGTGAAAAAAAATATCTGTTTATTAAACTGACTTAAATTGACGTCATCACTGTTATTTGTGACCCACAAAACCAGTTATAAGGGACTTTTTTATTATTATTGAGATGTATACATCATCTGAGAGCTGAATAAATACGTTTTCCATTGATATATGGTTTGTTAGAATAGGACAATATTTGGCCGAGATACAACTATTTGAAAATCTGGAATCTGAGGGTGCAAAACAAAACAACAATCTAAATATTGAGAAAATCGCCTTTGAAGTTGTCCAAATGAAGTCCTTAGCAATGCATATTACTAATCAAAAATTAAGTTTGGATAAATTTACGGTAAGAAAAAAATATCTAGGATTTCTTCATGGAACATGATCTTTACTTAATATCCTAATGATTTTTGGCATGATAGAAAATTCGATCATTTAGACCCATACAATGTATTGTTGGCTATTGCTACAAATATACCCATGCTATTTATGATAACTATTATGGTTTTGTGGTCCAGGGTCAAATGGCAGCGGAGAATAGCTAGGCTTACTGTATTTACAGAATGTGCTCATGTAGGCTGGTGTAAGAGCGGAGTATGGCCAGTAGGCGGCAGTAAATCGACTCGCGCTGTTTCATCTGCTTCACTCGAAGAAGAAGGAGATTCAAAAGACAGCTGCTGTGACAGCGATAAAGTTTTCAGCATGTAGGTATCACAGATAAGAACTCATATAAACTAAATCCCAAATAAACTGCATGTGTGTCTTACACGTATTTGAACGGGAATCGTAACTGCTTGCTGTGTTTGTTCTTTTATCTGATTACTTTTCTGACTTGCGGTGTGTCTTATTGTGCTCGAGTGTTGCGGCATGCTGTTATTATTGTTTTAAACATACAAATCTTTAGTAATTCGTTTTATAAACACGATATGATAGTTCATAAGCTATTACTATATTTAGAAATGTTGAATTAGACTCTGTTTAGTACCCGTTAGAGAGTGGCGTGGCCTTTAGCGAATGAATGGCTGAAACATTTGAGTTTTACTTGAGCCAGAGAAAATGTGTATTTCTGTGATCAGTCTGAATTAAACAAATGTATCACAAAATTCAACTTAAATCCAGAGCTCAACTGATCTGAAAAAAAAAAAAAAAAAATCTAAATGGCCATTAAATCCATTAATTCCATGAAGTTAAATGACAGTGCTCTGAATAGCTTTAATGTGTCTCTCCATATTAGGGCCTGCAAACATTTATATCGCATTCGCAACCTTCTCAAAAACCCACACACTTCCCATCAGCATTTAATACTTGGCTTGGTAAAGTCATGAAAGCTGTTTCCTCTCACCACTGATCGAGAACCAGCCTTTCCACACCAAAATAACAGTACTTAATATAAGTGAATGGGCTAAACTGAACCCAGGCCAGTGTTAAAGGAAGCTTGCAACGAGAACACTTAAAAGTCTCTTGTTTCCTGATTTTGACCCTTAGTTGCACATGACACAATTTTGAAACATTAACTGGCAGTTCTGTCTCTGTGAGCGCTGCAGGTGAGGCTGGTTATTTTATTTGCAATTTTTTAGTATTTACAGTTTGGTAGATTTTGATTTATAACGGGTTATGCTTTATTTTGGCACACTAAATCTGGGTTTGCATCCTTTAGTCCAGCCATGGTTCTGTGTTTGATTTTTATCAAGGAAACTATCATTTATTTACATATTATGTTTATGCTTTTAGCAAATCCTTTTATTTAAAATAAAAGCCAACAATATTCAGTTCCGGGGTTTATTAGAAAACTATATTAGAAAGCAAGCTAGACAAGTGGAGAAATGCATGTTATTTTTATATGTGTGGCACTGTTCATAATTAAAGTGTCTTAACCAGTGATCAATCACTATACTGATAACCTTGTCCACTTGGTCAACTACCATTGCTTCCTTTTGTGTACTAATCTATCGACATTCTTGTGAATTGCAAAATGAAATGTAAAGTATCGTGTAAAATGAAAGTTTGTTTCAGCGATTTTCTGTGGATCTCATTTGCAGTCTTTAACACCTGTATTCAATTTTATTTAAGCATATTGGCCATTGCCCATCTTGCTCTATAGGTGCATTGAAAAAAAAAACATATCAGATGACTACTAGACTTAAAGGGATATTTCAACCAAAAATTACAATTCTGTCATCATTTACCCACCCTCATGTGATTCCAAACCTGTGTGACTTACTTTCTCCTGTGGGACATAAAAGAAGATATTTCACAAAATATTTCAGTTGTTTCCCATACAATGTATACATTCCATACAAAATATGTTCTTTTAAGTTTTACAGAAGAAAAAGGCATAGGCTTGAAGCAACATGAGGGTGATTATTTGATGATGGATTTTGTTTATTTTTGTTCGAACTATCTCTTTAAGGTTTGTGGTCCATTCACTTGCGTTCACTTCACACATACACGGGAAAAGCGAAGTATGCAAAGATGTTTTAAGCTAGAGAGTGACTACAAAACATGTCTAAACTGAACTTATGTATATTTTTTTTATATTTATGTCTTCGGTCATCTTATTTTCTAAACTACATTTCACATTAGCATGAAGTCCATGTAGTATAGCAGGAATCACACATTCACACCACAGCTTCCTCTGCTATTTTAACTTCAACAGATAAAAAAATGTTTTATATATTATATGTGCTATGAGAAGAAAAACTACTCACGAAATAGGCTGTTGCTGTATTTTTTTGCATGTGTTTGTTGCTTCAGTGGTGTGAATTACTTACAATTTCAGTCTACCTTTTTATTAATCTAGCTTTTGCCTGTGAAAATGACATGTGGAAGTGATGGTGACACAAACTGTTGGGTGTTGAAAATAAGTGACAGTTTTTGCAGCAAATTTTCAGAAGTAAGCTGACTCGAAAAAATTTGTAATTTTTTTAAGAATTCAACTGGATACTCCACTTCTGTTCTCCATGGCTCTAAAGGGAAGAAAATGTACATTTTTATTAAAGTCATTTAAAAGGAAAATTCTGTGATGATTTACTCACTCACACATTGTTCCAAACCTGTATAAAGTTTATTCTGTGGAATACAAAAGAAGTAACTTGAGAAATGTTTACTTTTTTTTTTTCAGTACAATGAAAGTCAATGGGGGTCCAAAACAACGTTTTATTATATTCAAAAAATATCTTCGTTTTTCTTCCACAGAAGCAAAAATTCATATAGATTTGGAACAATATGAGGGTGAATAAATAATAAACTATCCCAAATGAATGAAGAACATCACACTAATGACTTCTGAGATGTTCAGTCAGGTGTTGATTAAAACGACACTTACTGGCCCCTGTTGACCTCGTGCCCTTGGCGTGTGTGCAGGTGCGATGGCGACATCAGCTGCGCAGTCGTTCGAATCGAACCTCTTCACAAGCGCTGGGACCTCGTGGAGGTGTGTGCGGAATTACTCAATGCCCAATGGCAGCGCAGCATGGGGGCGCGAATCCACTCGCTCCGTCAGTCGAGCCACAGCTATCCGGTGTGTATCTTGCTGCTCAGTGGAGAGAGGCGGAGTCAGGACGAGAAGCTAATAGGCCACGCCCGCTTGTCCCATGTTCTGGGGAGTCATAGTCTGTTTGTGGAATCGGTTGTGGTGTGCAGCACATTACGAGGGAAGGGTTACGGCCGTATCCTAATGGAGGGGGTTGAATGGTATGCCAAAGAACGGGGCTGCACCCGATTGTGCCTTACCACCCATGATAAACAACACTTCTACGCCCATCTGGGGTTTGTGCTGTCCAAACCTGTCCAAAGTGTCGGGACTCTGGCCTCCTTCATGCCCATGGAGTTGCTGCACAAGTTCTGTAGAAGCGCAGAGAACGAGGAGGAAGGGAGGAAGAGTGATTCTAAGTTTAACAATCCTGCACCATCTACACCTTCCATTTTACCTCCACCTCCTCCTCCCCCTATTTCTGCTCCTCCACCTCCTCCTTGTCCTCCGTCATCCTTGGCTCCAGTTAATCAGACTCTGGAGCAAACGCCGTACACCGACAACAGAGGGCTGCCCATCTTCTGGATGCACAAGGACATCTGAGACTCATGCTACACTCCTTCTGTCTGTAATTATTCAGGGATACACAAACACGGTGTTTACGGGACAAGAAGGATCTTGTAAACCTGAACTGTATTAACTCAAATACTGTGACAATCTGAATGTGCCTCAATACCAAAGTTTACTTTGTGTTTTAGCTACTATTTATTGATTATTTTTTTTTAATCATTGAAAGGTAAATCTTTGTAACACCACTATAAAATAAATGTCGCTGCTGAGATTATCTGCTGCGTTTAAAGGGTTTTCATCAAAATAAAAACTGTCTATATCTATTGAAGTGTTGTGCTTATCATTTCATAGGATCAGATTTCAGGTTGGGTATTTGATTCATACTGTTTCCATGGACTTTTTCTTTGTATCAACTTTTGATTATTTTTAAAAATATATATACACTACTGTTCAAACATTTGGGACCAATAATTTTAATGCTTGTGAAAAAAGTCTTATGCTCAGCAAGGCATTTCATTATACACTTAAATGTAATATTGTGAAATATTATTACAAATTAATATAACTGTTTTGTATTTCAATATATTTTAAAATGTAATTTATTCCTATGATGCAAAGATGAATTTTCAGCATCATTACTCCAGTCTTCAGTGTCACATGATCCTTCAGAAATCATGATACATTTTTTTCAACATTCTTTGATGTATAGGGAGTTCAAGATTTCAACATTTATTTGAAATTATAGAAATTTATACATGGCCCTGCATTGTATCTCACAAATACATTTTTTAGGTCCAAAATTTTCAAAACTGTGTTCTTTCCTTAGTGCAGTGAGAGATTTTCTCTGTTTTGTTGTTTGATTAACATAAATTACAGACAGCAGGAATTTTAGACTGCTGTCACTTTAAGAACTGCCCAGATCCAATAAACTATTCTCAGCTGTTTGCTTTCACTTAAGACCTAAATTACTGTGTTTAGGAGGATACTTGCAAAGACGGCATTTGATACATGCAAGTGTGTGTATTTAACCTTTTCAAGGCCTATAAAGCGGCAAAATAAGTACGTTCAATACGGTCTTCACATACCTCTGTGACAGCACTCAGAAACAGTCTCTCAGACAGCGCGCGCATATAGCAAAATTAAAAAATATTCTCTTTCGCTGCTAATTGCCTTTCAACGGCTTAGAATTACTTGTTTTTAAACCGCAATGCTAAGAAACATGTGCAAACAATATGTTTTCGTGAGCATGTAGCACAGCAACGTCACGTGAGTGTGTAACCACGATAGAGACGATAGTCCAAAATCTCTACCAGTTGACAAATTTCTACCAGTTAATCATGTCTACTGGTATATTGCCTGCTCCTAGTGACCAGGCAACCATAGGTTTATCTCAAACCAGTTTTAGAACACAGGACATCCCCTCAACTCCCCCAGTATAAACAGAATAATAGGAAATTTACATAGGAAACTAAAAAGTACACTTATTTCTACATTATTTGCTTTTTTAATTCAAACATGAATGACACTAATTTGTGTGTGTATTTCATAGGCATGCTTCTGAGATCCTCTATTCCCAATCCAATCCTCATTTTAGCCTTGTCAGTCATTTTGTCTCCCATCAACCCTGTTCAGAATATGGTTGAGGGGGTGGAGCCTGTCATCGGGAGGCGTGGCTTTTCAGTGATCTGGAATATACCTACAGCTCGGTGTCAGTGTCAATATGGAGTCTCCCTGCCGCTGCGCCAGTTCAACATCATTCATAACTCACAGCAGAGATTTCAGGGTCAAAATATGAGCATATTTTATCAGCGCCGTCTGGGTCTTTACCCCTACATCAACCGTCAGGGCTCAAAGGTCAACGGTGGCCTGCCTCAACAAGGATCCCTGATGGCTCACCTCTCATTGGCTGAGGCGCAGATCAATGAAGTGTTGAGACACACGTTCAGTGGATTAGCCGTGCTGGATTGGGAAGCATGGCAGCCCATATGGATGTGGAACTTCGGGACAAGAATTGTATATAGGAAAATTTCCAAAAAGCTGGTTAGGTGGAAACATCCAGATATGTCAGAGGAGGAAGTGAAATCCAAGGCGAAGGCGGAGTTTGAATTAGGAGCAAGATTGTTTATGGAAGAGACCCTGCGCCTTGGTGTTCGCCTCTACCCAGAGGGATTATGGGGGTTTTATGGGTTTCCCAGTTGCTATAACAATCATGGCCATGGACAGAGCGGATACACGGGGCAGTGCCACAGTGGAACAGAGATTCTGAATGACGGACTGGCATTTCTATGGCAACACTCTACCGCCTTGTATCCCAGCATTTATTTGTGGCGTAAGCTGGCCGGACACGCACACGCTCAACTCATGGTGAGACACCGTGTACTTGAGGCCCTCCGAGTGGCATCCCAGCATTCACCTGGCACTGAAGAACTTCCTGTATTTCCCTATGCCAGAGTGGCGTTCACACACACATTGGCATTTCTGAACCAGGTACCCCTTGACAATTTCCATATGGTGTTTTTTACATTGTGTTTGTTCTGAGTTCCAGGCTTATCATGCATTAGTGGGCTCTTCACCTCCACCCAGGATAGATCTTGAAAGAGGAGGGGTTTAGTTCTGAGCTTGTGCCCAGTATGTTACCTCATCTTCATCTTTAAGCAGATGGTTCTCCTTTAGTTCAGAATCGTGCTCAATGCAAGTATGCAAATTCTTGGCCAATGCATTGCTGTACTACTAAATATGCATTTTTTATTATTGTAGAGGTAACTAACCTCCTTACTCAAGGGGGCGATAGAGTCAATTAAAGTTCATTTTAAAAAAAAACATTTTTAATAATAATAAAATATTATTTAATAGTTATTAAAATATCACTGATAAAGTTAATCCTTAGCAAATTTCTAAATTTTTATATTGTAAATTATAATGTTGTAATACATAAATTCAACAGCATCATTTAAAGTAATTAATTTTAGAAAAATGCAGTGTTATTTATTTAAAATATTTTAGAATTACAAATGCCTCGTTTATAATGGGTTTGAATGTTTTTGTCTCGTCACTCCGGCCAGGACACGGCTTCACAGTATGGTAAGGGGCGTAACATTTCTGTCACACGCTTGAGGTATTCGGCTAATCACAACGCACTGGATAGCTGGCCAATCAGAGCACACCTCGCTTTTCAGACCGATGAGCTTTGTAAAAATCTACATGTTTCAGAAAGGCGGGGCATAGAGGAGAAACAATAATGTACAGTATGTGGAAAATAATGTGCTTTTTTAACCTTAAACCGCATAAACACATTTCATTACACCAAATACACAAAATAATGTTCTTTTTAGCAGCATCATATGACCCCTTTACTTTTTGGACCATTATAATTCTGGTAATCAGCCACAACATTAAAATTACCAGTTATCAGTAATGACCAGAATATAATATCAGTGAATCTCTTCTGACCAGTGTTATTTAATGTACTTTTATAGTTTATATTAATATTTTGAATGAGCTTTTATTTTCTTTTTTCATTTTAATTTTAGTTTAATATTTTGTTATTTTATTATGTGATCATTTTTATTTAATGTCATTTTTATTGGTTTATATTTCCAAATAAGAGTTTTTACAAAGTTTTAAATAATTTTTATTTCAGTTTTAGTAATTTTTGTACTTCAAATTAAGTTTATTTCAGTTAGTTGGCAAGACAACATTTCAAATTTTTAAGTTTTCATCTGATATTCATATTTTATTTCCTTTTAATTTTAATTAAGAAAATGTTTTTTAATAGTTTTAATTTTATTTCTGTAATTTTAGCAAACTTATTTCACAGTTGCCAAGGCAACATTTCTCATTTTCTTTTAGTTTAAGTTCTTCATCTAATATTTGTATTTGATTTTAACAAAAATCAAATATAAATATTCAATTAACAGAAATGTTTTCATTTATTCTGACAATAACAACAGTAGCCTCTGACCTTCAGAAACATTCAGATACTTTAATCGATTATGTTTCAAGCTTAGAGTGTCTTAATTCAGGCTGATCTGACTTTTAAAACTACATTCTTCTGTGAAACTGTATCATAATGTATGTGTATCTTTTCAGACGGATTTGGAGCACACACTAGGTGAGAGTGCTGCTTTAGGGGCCGCTGGAGTCGTGTTATGGGGCGAGCTGAGTTTTGCAAAGTCTAAGGTCAGTATAGGCCTAACTGTATGTGAGGATTTATAGTCTGAATTTACCTTTGTGTGATAACCTAATGCTCTCGATAAGTCTAAACACTGTCAGTACACAAACTTAAAATGCGTAATATTCAACATTTGACTTAGCACATATCTTGTTACTCATTGCTACAGCTATAATATATATTTCTGTCTTTCTTCAGCGGCAGTGTGTTCTCCTGCGTGATTACATCAGCTCAGTATTAGGAGAGTATGTTGCCGCCCTGCAGGCTGGTGTGAGGAACTGCAGTATAAGAATGTGTAACAACCAGGGACGCTGCGCTCGACGGGACCCTCACTCAGGTTACATGATCCCTCTACATGGTACCCATGAAGATCTTCCTCTCAATGACATGAGGTCAAAGTTCAAGTGTGTCTGTTATGAAGGATGGAGAGGAGAACACTGCGAGCAAAGAATTTCCTAAGAACAGATGCGCTTTTCTGATTTACATTCATTTTCACTGTGGGGATTTTTAAAACATCTTTGTTGAAAAAGTTGTAAGCTATTAACCAAACCAACCAGCTACTTACTGTGTTGGTATGGTGAATCACAACATTACATATTTTGAAAATCGGACAAAGACCAGAGCTCAAGAGTGTACAAAATAGAGAGTGTATCTAGTGTAAGTGTATGAAGACTGTTATTTAATTCGCATTGCTTTATGGGAGTGGATGAGCACTAAAGAAGTCTTTTATCATGATTGGCTTTTGATTCTCTGATTGGTGGAGATTTCTTTGCAGAATCATGAGTAATGTCATTTTCCTGATGAGAAAATGAATAGGATTTTTACTTCCAGAACCAGGCTGTTGCAATATAACCCCACAGTGGAAAAAGTAAAGTAATCTCAGAAAGCTAGTTGTTATATTTTTAATGAAAGATTACAAATACTTTTTTTTTTATTATTTGGAATAATGTGCACATGTAAATCTTTCACAATAAAACCAGGGCCCCACAAAATGTAAGAACATTTTCATTTATTTTTATTCTTATTTTAAAATTCCTCTTTTCTTATTAAATAGAATGTTAGACTATATAATTATTTACAATCATTCAGCAATCACTCTTGCTCATTCACAATTTTTTTATCACAATTTAATGTTTGTTGGAGTGATAACAATGAATCAAAATATAATAACAGGTATGATTATTCACATTCTTTCCATATTTCTTAGTATTGTTTTGTATTATCATTTGCTTTAAACTAATATAGCAAGTTGCCAAATAGTGTGTAACCATATAAGTGTACAAAAAATACTGGTGAAAAGTCCATTAATTAATACATTATTTTCCATTTACACTGCACAAACATCAGGAGGCTAAGTGAATGTTTTTGAGCAGGATATTGGATTCCACCGAAGCGATAGAAGCCTTTAAGACATAGAATCACACATGTTGATGTGAAGAATCGGTGCTCTTCTCTCAGTGTTGTCACAGTGCAGTCATGTTTCTCCTGTGGGTCTGTGTTGAACTATTTTTGTTATGGCCGCTGCTCTGTGAGGTTGATGTGCAGCTTTTGCAGCTCTTGTAAGAGCTGGGAGATTTCTTCAGCTGTTTCCTTTTTCTGTTTAACCGTCTCCAAAAGTGTGTGGAGAGCACTGCTCTGCTGGACTGGAGGGTTGATAACAGAAAACACGTTATTTGATAAAACAACAATTCAGCAGGCCCTCTAAATGAATGTTTTGGAATCAATATGTTAAAAAAGCTCAGTCGACAGCATCAGTGGAATAATGATGATTACCACAGCAAGTGGAAACAATAGCGACAACAAAAACTGCAGTTAAAGTAAGGCACAGAAATGCATAGAAACGTATTCCAGCTTTAAAAACGACAATTTAGACAACTTGACAGCTTAGACAACCTTACGGAGGCCCTATGTTAGTTTGGCGACAAGCATGCAAAGTTTCTCGGCAGGACACTTTTGCATGGGAACACCAAATTAACACTACATTTTGTTGGGGGACTGCTTTGCAAGAGAACATCTGGGAATGTGATACTTTTGCAAGAGAACGCAAAAACATTGAAATCAAGATTTGAAGCCAATCATATTGAAGCCGAAACATTTCTTTCAGTTTAGCCTTAAAACATTAATTTCATAATTTCAGCTTTAGCAAACAGATTGTCTCACCTAAAAAACTGAAGATGAGAATGAGAGTAAGGAGGAACGCAATAATGGCTGCACATGCTAAAAAATAGTGCCGCCTAGTGGAAGTGCATATGTCATTCAGTCTGCTCACACAGGGCCTTCTCACTGGTTGACCTGTTTGATAGACAACTCCTCGATCTTGCATCTGAAGATTCCCATTGGAGGTAGGAGGTGGTGGAGCACCTGCCAGTGAGAAGTGGGTTTGAGTGCTATAGAAACCAATGAGGATTTTAAAGTCATACATACAGTCTCTGACATGATGAAATACCTTTGCTGTGCTGTTCAGAGTGTGTGCGGTGCAGGTCATTGATGGAGTCGACGGAATGGAGCTCAATCTCTGTCAGGTCACGCTCACTGACACGAACAAACACTGGAGGAGGAGAAGAAGGAGTGGACTTCATGATCACTCCCTCCACTGACAAACAGACAGAGAATGCAAACCTGAGTCAAAGATTCAAAAATTATTTAAATCAATATTTACTCATCCTCAAGTTGTTTTAAACCCTTATGACACTCTGTCTTCCAAAAAATACAAAAGAAAAATTTTTGCACTGATCTCACTTTTCCATGCAATTGCAATGAATGGAGACCAGAGCGTTTAAGCTTCAAAAAAGATAAAAAGCACCATGAACGTGGTCCATACAGCTTCTGCACTATATTGCAATTTATAAAACCATATGATAACTTCATGTGAGAAACAGACTGAAATTTAAGTCATCCAGTAAATGTAATTCCATGGGACAGAGCAAGGAAAACAGTCTTCAGATTTTCACATTTTGTGTTTCCATTGAGAAAGTCAGTCCTACGGTTTTTAGATGAAATGAGTGTGAATAAATTATGCCAGTATTATAAGTTTGAGTGAACTATTCCTCAAAAAAAGAGCAAAAGACTATTCCCATCCCTTAATGACTGGATGCTAAATTAAAGACAAAACCATAGCATTTTACAGTTAAAGCACAGCTTTATTTGTTAAATATGTTGCATAATAAGTGTGAGGCTATATTGCTGTTGCTTTTGAACAGCTATATTTATCTCAAACATTTTGCCAACTTTGATGCATTATTGAAAACCAGTTGAAGTCTGGAAACAGCAGTGATGTTAAATGTCCAATGTTTGATATTAAATAAACATGGACATTTGTTTGTTTGGAACTGTTCACCACCAAAAAACTATTTTCAGCCCCTTACATATCTCAGATGTAGACAGTAAACAGCGCACTTCATGGATCAAACATCTCCCATTTAAAAACGAAAAAAAAAAAAACCTGAAACAATGTGATTAGTCTCAGATGAATTTTGGCTGAATAGATTGAAGTAAAATCAGAAGCAGGTGATCTCATATCAACTGTTTGATGACTCTACTATGGCCCAAATACACACAAACTAAACTGAAAATGATTTCTTAGTGGCTAACTGTTGATGCCTGTGCCCGTGTATAGGTTACTTACCCTCAGATTGTTTTCATCAAACGCTAGTAGACGTCTGTGCGTCGTTGTGTTGACAAACACTAGAGAAACCGCAGAGAAACCGCTGTGATTTGAATGGTCTGAAGCGATCTGTGTCCGTCTCGTCCGCCTGGCTCCTCTACCCCTAAACACTGCTCAAAATCCCCAGACCCGAAATAGCTGCTGCCTCATGGACGAGAAGAACGCTTATTTATAGATTTGGGGCCAAACAATCATTCAGTTACATGCGGACTTTGTGTATATTGTGATACAGGCATTAAAACTTTTATATTGGAAGAAAATGGCTTAATATGCAGCTTAATAGAAGGAATGTCCATTATTTCTTAACTTGTCTTGGGATAATATAAAAACTACGACATAAAATGTGTACTTTTTCTTACAAACTAAGCGAATTTGTTTTGTAAGCTAGCTAGCGTTGGGAACCGGGAATAGGGATGGGCGTATCGATCCAAAGTATCGATATATCGATACTGACGCGAGTATCGAAAGTATCGATACTCAAACAGAAAATATCGACACTAAGGTGTGTTTTATTTACCAGTGATTTTGTTAATTTCAGCCTGTCACTGTCCCTTATGAAAATGAACCATGGTTTTACTAAAGTGACCATAGTTCAACTGTAGTATTTGCAGATTTGAATCATGTGTAAACAAAAAACATATTTGAACCATGTGTAAACAAAAATATAACCTAATAAGTTACAATTAAGGCGTATTTAATGTTAAAATGCGTTTTAAACAAAGTTAAGTGCTTATCATTACCCATTTTACTCTTAATAATTTAATACATTTCATAATTTAAAAGGTTAGTTCAGAAGTATCGAATCGGTATCGATATCGACGATACTGCCTTGAAAAATATCGGTATCGTATCGAAAACAAAATAAGTGGTATCGCCCATCCCTAAGTCTGGGAACAGGTTCTTTTTCAGATCATGCGTGTGATCGAATCCTGAACGAATGACTCGTATGAGTCGGTTCCTTTTGGTGGACCAAAACTGCACCCATTATGCGACCAGCGAAATCCGATTCTCGAGCGAATGAAGGATTTTTCATACCGAACGCGAAAATGAGGCTCTTATGACGAATCACAGGACAGGCAAGCTTCCACAGAGGTATGCAGGGAACTGGGATCATTAAAACATCATAAGCAGCGCAAACGTTAAACAACTTAAAATAAACCGAAATCTTTGCAAAACCGTGACGAAAAACTAAAGATAATTTCCTGCAAAGTTCGTAAAAGTAAAGTTTTTACTTGGTGCATTTCAATATAATGCCTTGACTACTGAGATGATTTTGAATCTAGTGCTCTGTTATGGCTCAGGGTGTCGTTCATGCAGGAGTCAGGAGAAACGGGCATCTGCTGCGCTAATTAAGAGCACGAGAGCGTCCATCCGTACAGAGTCCTCGCAGCTTTCACTGTGTGTAAAGCACTGAAACACACAAGCTGCGGTCCGATTCATATTGCTCCTACGCGGTGTTCACTGCTTCCTAAACACTATCTGTAAAGTTCACTTCACCTAGCAACACCTGTTCATTCGGAACACCCTGTAACGTCATCAAACGCAGACAACACTCGAGTCGCGCAGATTATGAGTTTCTTGAATCTGTTAGCGAAATTGTATATATTAGGTTCGGCAACTTCTGACTTTTTCTTTGTTAGTTAATTTTCAATGGTCCTGTGGTGTGAAACATTGATTAACTGGTTGACATATTCCATGTAATCTCTCACCTAATATGAAAAAAAAAGCGTAATAATGTCAATGATACTCAATCACTGGTAGTCACAAGGCACTGATTTCTCTTGAATTCCTAAACACACCAGTCTGAGGGTGTGAAACCTGGTGCAGTAAAGATAAAGCCTCAAACACACTCTCTCAGTGGATCAGATCGTGTTCTAGACTGTCATTCAGACTACTTAGTTGACTTTGGACTGGTTTCGTAAACTGTAAATAGCTAATGTGGCCTAATGTGAGGTAAAAGTGGGCGGACTCATAGGTAGGAGGCAGTCAAAGGTCACAGCACCTTAAACTGATTTAATAACGCACGCAGGATCTTATTAATTGCAGAATCTAATCTTTAAACCCCCAATGATTCTGAACAACATATAAGATACTATAAAAATCAAAGCTATAAATTTGTACTATACTGTGTTACTATAATTGTTATTATTATTAACTATATTATTGACTGTATTATATAAATATGAACTTTATCCAACAGGTTTTATTTGAATTGATTTTTCTCTGTATCTAGGTGGTGCTCAAGAAAACCCCGCTGTATGACTTCCACAGGGCTCAGGGTGGTAAGATGGTGGAGTTTGCAGGATGGAGTATGCCTGT